GTGCTGGGATGTCCCAAAAAATGGGTCAGGAAAGCCCTCATCCAGGACGTTCCCTGGGGTGTCTGTGGTACAAATAGSGTGTCCCAGCCATGGGTTGCACAGGAAAATGAACATTTTATGATATTCACATGCAGACAGACACACTGCACCCTCCCCATGGTGAGGAGACACCTCCCATGCCTCCCCCCCAGCCCATCATTCAGCTGGAACACAGCCAAAGATAAAAACACCAAAATGCAAATTAAAGCACCAGGCAGCACCTTGTTCTTTGTGTTTAAGGACRGACATAATATCCTTTCTCTTAAAATAAACCCTAAACTGAAGCAAGGCCAGAGCCCACGGCAGGCCAAGGGCATGTGGGGGTGTTAAATAAATTCTTGGGGAAACAGGGCAGCSTCTCCCTGCAGCCTTTGTAACCCAAAAAGGAAAACGGCTGCGCTTCCTCCAGCAAGCAAACAGTGTAAAAAGTTTCATGACAGATGGCAGGATGTTTATCTGCCTAAACTTAATCAGATTGAAGTGATAGGCTTAGCATAATAGAACAAAAAAAGGAAGAATTAGGGGATAAAAAAGAAATTCTCAGTGATCCATCACAGCCTGAACGTTTGACCAGGGTTTACAGCATCCTTCCATGTGTGGGGATGCTGACAGTGCCATACACTTTGGCTGAACCATTACCCAGAGGAGAAAAGATACAAAAAACAGACCAAAAAAATCGCACTAAGGTCACTTTCCCAGATGTAGTTTATTTTATTAGAATTGAATTCCCAGCCCCCTTTCCCCTGCTGTCCCCAAGGGGTGCTGTGCAGCTCCAGGGCCAGCTGGTAGCTCTGAAAAACAAGTGTTGGACACTCCAGGAACAGGGAGCATCACTTTGGTGTCCTTCAGTGAGCGGGGTCGTCTTCAGCTGTTGGGAATGCTGGACATGGAGATGGAATTATCCTTCTCATCTGCAGTGGCTGAATGCAGGCAGCAGCCAGCACACACTGCCTGAGCGTATGGATATAGAAATATATCTAACACAAACAAAATTCTGCGATTCCCATGCTTCCCTTGGGAGATCTGAAACAGGTTAAAGCCCAAAAAGTCTTGCCCAAAGCCCAAGAGGGTGCACAGATGCTGATATGTTGATTAAAAAGGGACTTTTGCCTCTAAAAGGTGACCCTTGCAAAYGCTACCATGTGTCAGTGAAGGTGAGCAGAGGACTTGATGGAGCAAGCCTTAATCTTTGATTTTTTGACCCATTTTGAGCCCTTTCTGTGCTCTTGCCAGGTGCAGCATGGCCAGGTGTGACCACACACGCTGCAGCAGCTGCACTACAAACCTGACAGGGAGAGAAACTAAAATCCCTGGGGAAGGGCTGCAGTGCCTGCAGGCAGGGAGCAGCTCCGTTTAGAAATCCTTATTCTGGGTAGGAAAAAAAAAGGCAAATCTCATGCCTGTCCCAGCCCTGGATGTGCTGAGTGCTCCTGGCAGCAGGAGGGRGCTGAGCTGATTCTCAGCAGGTCTCTGGGGCAGGGGATGTTCAGTGAGGGCAGAATMCCAGAAGGGTTTGGGYTRRAAGGGACCTTAAATCCCAYCCAGTGCCACCCCAGCCATGGCAGGGACACCTCCCACTGTCCCAGGCTGCTCCCAGCCCCAATGTCCAGCCTGGCCTTGGGCACTCAAAGGGATCCAGGGGCAGCYACAGCTTCTCTGGGCACCCTGTGCCAGGGCTGCCCACCCTACAGGGAACAATTCCTGCCCAATATCCAATCCAAGCCTACCCTTCTGAAGCCATTCCCCCTTGTTCTGTCACTCCATGCYCTTGCTGGATCTGACTCAGCCCCAACAGCTCCCCGGCCCRGGGRAGCCCCTGACTCCAGGGTTAAAATMCAGGATTTTAATGGGAAGAGGTAGGAAACCCGCATCCCCTCCCACACAGCCATGCTTGCTCACAAAATCCCCTGCACAGGGAAGGCAAAGCCCATCAGCCCCATGCCCTTCAGCTCTTTCCAGGCAGGGAAAAGCATTTCAGAGCCTGTAAACAACATCCCTGCAGTGCTGATCCCACTGAACACACCGACAAACAGGCCAGATCCAAAGGATTTATTCCCGACAGGATGGTGCAGTTATTCCCTCAGGTGTTATTGGATTCTTGTTCCCCTGGGGCTGTTCCAGGTGGGCTAATCCTGGCAGAGCCACGGCCACTGCTTTGCCAAGACTGCCCCCTCCCCAGGGGTTTGTGCCACYGAGGCACACACAGGACCCTGGGGCTTGGTGGCCTCCAAGGACACCCCATCCCATCTCAGGCACCCCAAAAGGCACAGCACGTGTGGRTTAAATGGGTAAATCCATTCTGAGGGGGTGCCTGGGCCCATCTGAGCATCTCCCTGGTGTGAGCAAAGATAAAAAGGGGGAAGATCCCCCCAGCATTGCCTGGAGGAGGCTGAGCCCCTCCCAGAACATTCGAGACTTGCAGAGKACAGCAGCTTTGGTGCTGCCCTGGATGAGGTCAGTAGTTCATTTTAGTACCACCATGTGAAATATTTCAGAAGGTGGGTGTCCCCCCACGCTGGGCAGGGCTGGGTGAGGTGAGATGGAGGTGGGACAGGATCCAGGGGCTCCATGGAGRCTGCACAGGAGGCTCAGCCCCGTTGCTGCTGCAGGATGATGTCCACAGCCTCGGCCAGGTTGTTCACGTAGGCGTCCGGCTTCACCTTGGGGTGGTTTTCATCCGAGGGCCTGGCAGGAGACAGAGGGCACAGCTGGGCAAGGGCAGCACCCCAAACAGGTCCCTGTCCCCATCCTGCAGCCCACAGAGCCCAGGCAGCATTGATGGAGCACTCCTGAGGCTCACACTCCTCCCTCTCCTGTTTTTCCAATTTTTCCCCACTCCCAGGTCTTTGCCCAGGTAGATCTGATGTGCTTTGTGCAAAGGAGCTGGGCAAAGCTTTGCAAAGCCTCAACTGGAAGAGAGAATCTGCAATTAGTTATTTAACTAATCCAAGTCAACACATTTTACAGGGATTTCTTCACCCAGGCAGGAGCAGCACCAGACAGGGATTGCTGTAAGGATTGCTGTAGGACCCTACAAAATTATAAACGATTATTCTCACATGGTTTTTGTCTAGAAATAGGTACGGAAAAGAACAATTCCCTTCCCTAGAGACATGGAAGTTCTTCAGATGCTCTCAGTGAAAAGGAATTTTAAAGGTTTAAAAGGTTTAATTCTGCAGGACCACCCTCTCTGGCAAACCTACCAGKGGTGCTTTGAAACAGCACCAGGAGAAGGCTCCATCTCACCCACCACCCCAAAGCTCATTAATCTGAAGCCATTTTTTGCCAATGATCTAATTAGCAGCAGTGGCCTAACAAAGTGCAAATGCACAGTCCTGTTTTGCTGATCCAGCAGCACTGCTGCTGGGGAGGGGGGCACAATGGGAGGCAGAAAATTCCCAAACCTCACAGCCCTGTTATGGCTCTTGGGCTGAGAAACCCAACAGCTGCTGAGGAGCAAACATATGTATTTTATACGCTTAATGACCTTCCTTTGGGAAGGAGATGGGAGCCCAAATGTCCACCTCCCACCTCCCCTGCTCCCTGGGAAGGGCAAACCTTTATTTAGCAGAGCCTTTCCGTGGGGAAAATGCACTTCCCATCGGGTGCAGGGGAGGCAGAGATGATATTATTTTTACTATTATTAATATTATTAATACCAATATTTTATTCTAGTATTATTATTAATTATTATTATTATTATTATTATTGTTGTTATTATTATTATTATTATTATTGTTATTATTGTTATTATTGTTATTATTATTATTGTTATTATTATTATATTACTAATGATGTGTAGAATTTGGTGAGCACTCATCTGCACCAAATCATTTCTCCAGCCCCAGCACCAAAGTTCCCCAGGGCTCTTCCCTTCCTGCTCTTTTCTCAGCCTCCAAGCACGTGAGCTCCTCACAAAGGCACAGCCACACTGCTCCAGGCTCTGCAAAACTTGCTGCAAAGTTACGGTGTGAATTAGGAAAAATTAAATATTTTTGTGTTTTCAGCTGATATTTGTCTTTCCTTGTGTCACTGCAAAGCCACATCCAGCACCAGGGTGCATAAAACAGATTCTGCATCTTATTTAAAAGGGGGATGGGTCTTTCTTTAAATATCCAAATTATGTCAGGATATCTATTACATCAATAGGTATCTATTAAATATCTATTCCTACAGGGCTAGGGAGCAATGAGAATAAAAATTATGATTTTTTTTTAGGTTTTTCTCAATTGAAAAATGTTTGCTGATGGAGAAAAACCTTCAAACATAGAACAGTAAAAAATCCAGTGTATATCCATCCCTTCAGTGGTGATTATTGCTCACTCTTGTTTTAACCAAGTGGCTTGGATGGATACAAAAATTACTTTGGGTGTAGAGTAAAATATCAATTTCTTGTCACCAGTCCTTAATTTGATGGAGAACTAAATAAAGCAATAGACAAAACTTCTCTCTGCATCTTACAGCCTCAAAAATGTTCCTTTCCTGGATTACACATTAGGAGAAAATTTTAAGAACTGCTTGAAACAAACTCTTCTACAAGAATTTTTCAATCACACAGCGCTCTTTGATCTATTAAAAGGATTTTGTGATTAATATCTGTGCTGACTACACAAAAATCCATCTGTAATTCAGCTGCTAAATGCCATTCATCAAGGAAAAGCCCTGCATGCACATGATGTGTCCTGTGAAAGGGGGACGTGTGTGTATATATATATATATAAATATATGAAATAAGATATTTTTACCCATTTGCCCAAATGCCATGGGATCCCAACACACTCCTGGCTCCACTGAAATTAATATGAAAACAAAATAAATAAAATTGTCTGAACTCTGTAGGAAAGCAGAGAGCTGGGATAAAAACATTTCCCTGCTCTCTCACCTTTTCCTGGGGCTGTGCGTGGAGCTTTTGTCCCTGTCAGYGCCACCCCAATTCCTGTTTCATGTGGCCCCTGTCTTTGTCTCACAGGCATTTTGTGGCTCACAAAAACAGCAAGGGATGGGTTTGTTCCCCTCTCTGGCTCAGAGCTGCTCTTGAAGCATCCAACGAGAGGGGACTGTGAGCAATAATCCCCAAACTCTAATGCTGAGAAGCAAAGCTCCAAATGCAGCAAAACAACTCAGGAGCCCAAGTCTGGGTGCCAGAAAAAAAATAAAAATCTAAACCTATCTTTAATTTGCTAGGTCAGTTGAAGAAGTTAGCACTGAGCTAACTTTAGGACTGACTCCTTCCGATTTCTTTTCTCACGTGGGTCTCTGGTTGCAGAGAAGAACATAAATCAAAATGACAGAAAATTACATACTGCAGCTGAAGATTGAGCTGTCAGCACTCTTGGCCAGTGCACACAAACTCRCTTGTGAAAAATCAACTGCAGCCTTGGGAAACACTCCCTTCTGAAAAACAGGATTCCTTGGAATTGTGGAAGTGAACACCATTTCCCAGCCCAAACTGGCCACAGAACTGTGAAATGTGGCAATTCCTGCATTGTCCTTGGTGGCCACCTTGCTGGTGTACAAAGGGGTCAGGGAAAGGAGTGGCTTGGCACAGGGTCCCTGTGGGGAAATGGGATGACATCTGGAGAATGTGAAAAGCCACCCAACTCGACCAGCACATTCACATTTTTAAAATATTATGATCAAATATTTTTAACATGATGTAACTCAGGCAGTGGTCTGGAGGCTCATGACCATCAAATCCTCCTCAGGAGAGGACTGAGCACCCTCTGAGGATGGAGATGCTCTAACCAAACAGCTCAAATACACAGTTTTTGTATTTGTGCTCAGAGGAGGGTGCTGACAGCACTGGTGGGAATAAAAGATGTGCACGAGGAGCACTTGGTATAACCCTGCTGCACTTTGCTCTGCCTGGTTTTCCACCAGGTTTTCTTTTTGAACAGCCAAGATCTGGTGCAGGACATCACCCTGGGAAGCAAGGAATAGGCTGGAAATRGGGATTGTAACCACAGATACGAAGAGGTGTAGGGAGAGCAAGTGGGACTTTGTCAAAATGAAGAAGTTAAAGGAGCAGAGGTGACCAGGACAGACCACGAGCTGGAGCCAAATTTGTGGATATCACATATAAAGCCTGGGAGAGAATCAGAGTTATTTCCCATGTATTTCCCAAGTATTTCCCATACTGCTCTCCCCAGGCATGACATTAACTCGTGGGGATTGCAAATGAACCCCTGAACAATCCCAAATCCTGGCATTTCTGCGGGATGCAGCGCACTCTCCGGCACTGAGGAAGGGGATGACAGCAGCTCTYCTCTSCCCATCCCTATTTATTTGCTTTCTCAGGAAACAAAACACATGTGAGCATGCCAAATTAAGAGCTCTGGAGATTAAAAATCCTGAAAATCACATACACAGATCCATACAGGAAGAAACAGGCATGAAGGAATAAACAGGTGATAGGGAGACATGATGGAAAATGCTGCTGTCGGGACAGAGGGTCCTCCTGGCTGAATGCTCTCATGTCATTACCCCAAAACATGAGATTTTATTGGTACTGACTTCTTTCCCCTACCTCCAAAATCCCTCATGGAAAAAGGCACTGGAAAGTCAAGCTGGTTTTTGAACAAATATTTGAACAAGCAGAGCRCCGGTGTTCCGGCGTCTGGGCAGCAATTTTCCTGTCAAAACTGCAGAGCTCTCTCATCGTGCACAGCCAGAGCAGTTCAGCAGGGGCCAGGCATTAAAAGTGTGCATTCCAGCGTTCTGGTGGAGGACAGGGAGCAGCACACATGCCTCATCTGGTTTTGGACTGGTTCCCAGCCTGCCTGTCCCAGAACAGCTGCACACGTGTCCTGGGAACAGCTGGTACAGRGAGGGCTGGAAAAGGATGGGGGACACCCAAACAGCCCCTGATCCCTCATGGGGTCTGATCCCTTCTTCTCTGCCCATAACCCAGGTGTTTCATGGGCTCTGAGCTGCTGTGGACCCACCCAACCCTGAATCCAAAGTGAAGCTGTCGTGGCTCAAAAGCTTGGCTCGGTGCTGGATGATGGATTTTGGATTTGATTCCTGAGGAGACACAGGTGGAAGGGAGTTCCTGCCATCYTCAGCCTCATGGAAACCATTTCAACCCATCTAACACAGGGATGGAGTGTATTGGTAATGTTTGTTCAACAAATTCTGAACAGCCAGAGGAAAGGGAGAAACATTTGGGAGCACAAAACGCTTCTGCCGCTGCAGAGGTGCACATTCACCTCCAGACACCCAGAGTTTCCCATCAGGCTGGCACAGACTCATTTCACCCAGAGCTGTCTGTCCCAAAACTGGGTGCTGTCCCCAGGCTGGTCACCTGGACCTGTTCAGGAGCCTCCAATTCAGGACAGACAGGTCCCTCCATGGGGAAAGGGAGAAGAACACACAGAATCAGAGAATCACTGAGGCTGAAAAGGCCTCTGAGACCATTGACCCCAACAGTTCCCAAGGCCACCACTGCCCCATGTCCCCAGAGCCACCCCTACAGTTCCTCTAAATCCCTCCAGGGATGGGGACTCCACCACTGCCCTGGGCAGCTCTTTCCATGCAGAAATTCCTCCTGATGTCCCCCAGGTCCCTCCCCTGGCCCATCCTGAGGCCGTTCCCTCTCCTCCTGTCCCTGTTCCCTGGAGCAGAGCCCGACCCCCCCTGGCTGTCCCCTCCTGTCAGGGAGTTGTGCAGAGCCACAAGGTCCCCCT